GTATGAATACATGGTGACAGATGACTGGAACTGCAGCTGAGAGCTCACATCTGGATCCACAAGCAGGAGCCAGAGAGCACACTGGAAATGGCCAAAAGACTGCCTCCAGTGACAAACCCCCTCCAACAATGCCACATGTCCTAACCCTTCCCAAACAATTCCACTAACTGTAAACCAAGTATTCAAGCCTATGAGCCTATGGAGGCCATTCTCACTCATCCCATAACACTGAGTAAGGAGCTACTTACAAGAGCAGAAATAACTCAAAGACAGCTGAATCACCAAAGCCCACCCTAGTGTGGGTGGCCACTCACAAAAGCTAGAAACCTAGAGCACACTGCATACAGCCTACAGCAGCTCATAAGGTTGTCAGCTGTCCTTTTCCAGGCTGGGTAGGCCTGGGCCTCTTCCAGGCAGCTCAGCTGATTTTGTTTCTTCTAGGCAGTTCAGCTAGTCTCTGCTTATCCCAGGCTTGTCCAAATCTTCTTTCAGCAGTCTTTACCATTTATATACTCTTGAGGGTGAAGGGTTCTAGTGACTCAGGTCCATTTCAAGGACTTCCTGAAGCTTTTTTGAGTTGTTTGCTTTCTTCCTTAATGAGTTTCCCTGTGGAATAGATTGTTTCACCTCCCTGTAATAAACATCCTCTCTTAAATTATCCTCTTTCTTTCAGTTCACATTGATTATCCTTTATGTTTTATGAAGTTTCCTTCCAAGATGGAAGAGTTTAACCTTGGAGGAAAATTGCTACACATACAGTTCCCTATAAGAAGCTCTGAATTTTCTGAGCTACAAGAGCCTAGTGAGTTACATAAGCTTTTCTCCTCCCTCCAGGAGAAAGTATTAATGCTTGAAACAGCCTCATAATAGAAAGCATCATTCTAACAGTAAAATAGAAGATATCAAGCCTGAGAAGTTTGCCCCAACCCCACCTCCCTTTTTTTTATAATTGGTTGACTTTGGACTAATTCTCTCTGGATTAATCATATTCCATTCATTAAAACCTAAAGGTGCTTATTATGAGTTGCTTAGATTTTCTTGCCCAATTTATAAAGATAATTGGGGCTGCACTAAAAGAGCGCTTGGGAGGCCATTTTTTAAAAGACTGTTGATATGCAAGCTGAGAGATTATAGTCCCTTTTAAAAAAGTAGAAGAAATTGTGATGAAAATAGTTTAATCTGAGGGTGTGTTTCAGAGATCCAAGCTTCTTTTGGAGTTATATTTAGCCCAGTCATTCATGGTTAGTATACAAATAAACATAAAGGGGAAATATGCTTAAATTGAAGAGCTACCTCTCTCCACTTGAAATCGAAATGCCAGGTAAACCCTTTTCTCAATGGTCATTTGATGAGAAGAAAACAGGAAGGAGTGTCTGTGAGTGATTCAATATCTGAGTTGATAAAGAGAGACAAACGGAGAGAGGATGCTTGTTAAACAATAGATTGTGGCATCTTGGAAAGTAATATGTAGAACAATTTTGAGATGGAAGGAGTGGTCAGCTGTACTAACTGAAACTGTAAAGTAAAAATATAATTGGTAAAATTTGGGTATAATGACAGATGATGTTATGGTAATAATTATCATTAGATATTGTTGGCTATTTTTGCTCTTTGCTCTTCTTGGGGGCACATTACCAGCCTTAACTTGTCTTGTTTCTTGCCAGCTTTCCTTAACTTAATTTATCCCATCTACCTTTTTTGTCTGGGCTTTTACTTTTCTCTTAAGTTTATGTATCTTACTTTCAGTCTTACTCTGTGGCTGGCTGTAAGGCTGGGTAGCTGGCCCCTAGCATCCTCCTCTCCTCCTTTTCCCATTCCTTCTTCTTTTCATTCAAGCTTCCTATTCATTCTCTCTTCTTGCCAGCTCCACCTATCCTTTCTTCTGCCTCAACATTAGCCATTCAGCTTTTTATTAGACCATCAGGTGTTTTAGACAAGCACACTAACACAGCTTCACAGAGTTAAACAAATGCAACATAAAGGAATGCAACACATCTTTGCATTAATAAACAAATATTTCACAGCACAAATAAATATAATCTTAAAATAATATACTACAGGTTTTCATGAATGATTTTGGAGACAAAATGGGGAAGAAATAAGGTATCTTCAACTGGTTGTGAAGAAAGGTAAAGTCTGACACTATTTAAAAGAAATATTAGCAACTAACATGTTTATTGATCATTTTGTCCGTGTTTTGAGTTGTTTTCCTAAATATAATATACTGTAAATAGTCAATTTTGTTTTTTTTTCATTCAGTACATGATGTACAATCATAATTACTCTTAACAATAAAAACCCAGAGTCATATACTAGGGTAAAGGCTGGAAGATCTGAGAAGCAGAGCAGCCAGCCACCAAAGAGTTCTTACCTCTATAAAATCTCAAACCAGGGGCTGGAGAGATGACTAAGCAGTTAAGAGCATGGGATTGCTCTTCCACAGGACCTGAGTTCAATTCCCAGTACCCACATGGCAGTTCACACCTGTCTGTAACTCCAGTTGACACCCTCACACTAATATCCATAAAGTAAAATTAAATAAATTATTCTTAAAAAAAAAACTCAAACCAAATTAGGCAATCCTGTTTCTACAAAACCTCGGAGTGAATGGAGCCAAGATCCTGTCTCCACTCACCTTATATTTCTTTCTTCACCTCCCTGGTGCTGGGATTAAAGGCATGTACCACCACTGCCCAGCTCTGTTTCTCTTTTAGACTGGTTCAGTCTCATTGTAGCCCAGGGTGGCCTTGAACTCCTGTTCTTGCTTCCACCTGCCAAGTGTTGGGATTAAAGATGTGTGCCACCACTGCCTGGCCTCTGTGGTTAACTCATGGCTAGCTCTGCCCTCTTATCTCCAGGCCAGCTTTATTTGTCAAAACACAAACAAAATATCACACAAGTACACTTGGCTTTGCTGCATTTAAGCCACACAACAGAAGCTGATTCTTTTAATAGATAGATGATAATCACTGTACACATATTTATTGTGCACTGGTTTTCATCCATACTTCATATTTTATTATAAATGTTGATGCAATGAACATTTGCCCTATTTTTAGTCACTTTTGAAGATTTGGCATGGGTAATTAAAGTGGCCGAATCATAGATTGCATTTTTAATTATAATAGCTATTGCCAATCTTTTCCATTGTCAGCAATTCTCACCTCTGTTAGTAATATATGACATTACATTTACCCCTATCTTACATTGTCGCTATTCTTTGACTATAGCTAGAGTTTTCCTGCCTTTCCCACAGTCAGGACAAATCTCTGTCACTGCCAGTCCCACAGCCGCTCAGACCCAACCAAGTAAACACAGAGACTTATATTGCTTACAAATTGTATGGCTGTGGCAGGCTTCTTGCTAACTGTTCTTATAGTTTAAATTAATCTATTTCCATAAATCTATACCTTGCCTCATGGCTTGTGGCTTACCAGTGTCTTCACATGCTGCTTGTCATGGTGGTGGCTGGCAGTGACTCCTTCTGTCTTCCTGTTCTCTCTTTTCTCCTCTCTGTTAGTCCCACCTATACTTCCTGCCTAGCCACTGGCCAATCAGTGTTTTATTTATTGACCAATCAGAGTAATTTGACATACAGACCATCCCACAGCATTTGACTTTTTTATTTTGCCAATAAATTACATGAAGGTAATTTACCTTAACCAGAATTCAAAATGATTTTAAATTTAATTTGGTTGATTTAAAGATCATTCCATGTAAACACAACATTGTCACCTTCTTCTGTGAATTTTAGGTTCAGATCTTTGGCTCACCTATTTGGAGTAGCTATCTCTATTTTTTTGATTGACTTGCAGTGATTATATGTCCACACAGAACTTGTTTCTGGAATTCAGTTTCAATATTTGCTCTTAAAATTTATTAATTCTAAGATGCATGTTAAGACTGTTTACCATCTCTCCTTTTACAATCCACCTAATAAGACATAAACATCCTTGAGCTCTTCACCAGACTATAATGAAATATTACATCACAGGGATCTTCTACTCCAAGACCACTGGGGTTCATAAAACCTACCAACTACAGCTCTACTGTGTTTCATCTCTTTTGGGGGGCACTTCACCTATTTGTATTAGTAGTCCAATGTAACAGTATTGGCTCACAGGAGAGAGAAGAATCCACAAAGTTCAAGAAGCCTGAGTATAAAGCCTACATTAATCTCCCTTTCATGTGCTCTTTACTGTTCACTGCTGGGACCTGTCCCTTAAGTATTAAATTTCCTTTCATATCACCAGCATGAGTTAGTGATTTTCTTCTCTTGAATGCTCTCAACATTGCTGGTGTGCCTCCATTTCACTCTTGAATTGTCTCTACTGTTTCCCTACTTAAAATTCCCCCAAAGACTCTGTTCTTTAACTCCAGGTGTGTTTCTGTAGCTTTTTACTGTGATGTTATATCCATCTACTTACTATCTCAGCTGCGTTTTTCTTGCTGTGGTAAGACACAATGACCAAGGCAGATTATAAAAGAAAGTGATCCATGGCTCATGATTTCACAGAGCTAGAGTTCATGACCATCAGGGCAGGAAGCCCAATGACAACAGGCAACCAGACATGGTGCTGGGGCAGTAGTTGAGAGTTCACATCTTGACCCATAAGCAGAGACAAAGACAGGTAATCAGGAATGGTGTGGGCTTTTAAAATCACAAAGCCTTTGTCAGTGACACACATCCTCCAACAATACCACTCCTCCTAGTTCTTCCCAAATGCTCTACCAACTAAGGACCAAATAATCAACCATATGAGGTTATGGGGATGTATTTTCATTGAAATTACCATATCTACCTAGTTTACATAGCAGAAAAGACCACAGAAGTCACAATCTTTCTGCTCTGACTCCGGCCACTCTAACACTCCTGACATGTGTGAAAACAACTAACTAGCTTTATCAAAAAATATCTTCCATGTTCCAAACTCTTTAATACATTCCAAATGACCTTTATTTGTTCTCTGAGAATGGAGCCCTTTCCGTGGTATACTCACATAAAATCCTACAGCTCTCTTTCCCTGCATCACACTCCACTTCCAGATCAGTGAAGAAGAAACCCTGCCACAGAACAGATGAAAGTTGGTATCAATAATGCCTTACATTAAAAAAAAAAAAGACACTTATGTTAAATTACTGAATTAGTATTACAATAAACAAGGCTATAAAATCTAAGGGAAAACACACTTTCAATTAAAGCCTTGTAACTTTTAATGTCCACACATCTGCATAATGTATTCCTCTGCATCCCAGCTAATTAGGTTAGGGTACTCATTAACAGCGGGCCCCTTGACTTAGGTGCAAGTTAAGGACCAGGAAGAAAGAGACTTGTAAGGGACAACTAAAAAGGGAAATAAGAGTCCTGGGCATAAAAGGTTGAGTTTGTAAAGCTACAATCCTTCCCCAGGTAAGGGCTGCCACCTATCTGCCTAATGTGTGGAAAGTAAGGAAGAAATTTGTATTAAGGAAATAAAATTGGTAGTAAGGGTCTTGAGTTTTGATAATATTTAACACATAAAGTTATAAAGTTGGTTTATCATTGAATGTGATACCTCTTAAGTCCTACCTCTTAACTTATAAAATATTCCTTAGACAGGAAGAGACCACCTCAAGAAGACAAACTGCAAAAGCTGCCCTTTTGATCTAGCATCCATTTAAAGCACAGTTTGAAAAGCCTGAAGCAGTTATCCCAGAAACTGGGAAATGAAAGCAAAAGTTTGGGCTACCTTGGAGACTATCTCAACAACAGTAAACAAAACACAATGAAGGGCATGTGAAGTAAATCCTCCTGTTTCCATCCTGCATTTAACCAACAGCTTTGCTTTCATTGTGTTTTTACCTGGTATCAACGAGGTTAGCTCATAAAGTCAGATGTTGACAGACTAGAACCTTGCATGACCAAGCCATGCTAAAACCAGTGGGGCTACCCAAATGATGAATACAAGAGAGAATTGTGGCTTCCATTGTTCATAGTTAACTCCATCGTTATTTCAAACACTACTCATCTGGACAGTGCATTATTAGCTCTCCACTTCCTCTGATAATGTCTCTGAGATGAGGATAATAACAATTGAGTATGTGACCTTTTTAGAAGCCCAAAGGCCACTTTTACTAAAAGCATAGGCACTCAGTGAGAACATATGGCCATCTGATAGATAATTTAAATAGAGTAAAAGGCTACCAGCTCTGTTTTTACTTCCTGTTCCCTTTTTGATGTTTCAAAACCTTTAGGTAAATTGCAAAACCACAACTAATGAGAATGCAGAGAACAATTAACGGAGCCTGGGTTGCCTGGCCCCAAGTGATGATGCATCTACAACACATCTGCACCTATGGCACAGGGAACACAGAATAGAGGCAGAAATAGTATAAGAGGCAGAGGACTAGGGAAACTGCTGTGAGATCTTGTATCCTAGAAACGGCAGAGAAACTTCATCCATGACCCTTCAACAATAAGGCTGCCTAAACAAGGCCTGAACAAGGACAATACTAATAGACATGGTAACAACGGGGATGGAGATGGAAGAAATGTCATGGGGCACCGCCACTAGACAAAGAACTACAAGCATCAGAAAAAAAAAATCAGCATCTCTTGGTGAAAGTACTGACCACCAGTCTACCAACCACAAGGCCCGAAGGACAAAAGATAACCAGTGATTGAAACCATGCTCATGAATAATAGGCAACTGAAAACCTTTAATCCTCATACCAATCCCACTACCCCTACCTGTATCTTATCATCCCCAAACATTCCCCACTCTCACCCTCAAAAAAAAAATGAAATAAAAATCTACTGTTGCTTCCTTTTGTGAGTGAAGCATCCTTTCCACTGTTTTTTTGTTTTGTGTGGTATTGTATTGTTTTTGTTGTTGTTGTTTTTGTTTTAATCGGTGTTAACTCATGTCTGTTCCCAATAAAGAAGTTCTGAGTGGCAACTGGTAACACAGCTTGATGTCATTTCTACTGCTTCCATGCCACAAGTTCCCATTGCCTGAAACCAGGTGAAAGAGATAATCTGTGGTGATATTTTGTTTGTGATCTAACAAATAAAGCTTGCCTGAAGATCAGAGTATGGAGCTAAGCTACCAGTTAACCATAAAGGCCAGGCAGTGTGGCACACACCTTTAATCCCAGCACTTGAAAGGTAGAGTCAGATAGATCTCTGTGAGTTCAAGCCCACCCTGGGCTACACAAAATTGATCCAGTCTAAACCAAAGTGAGGCAGTGGTAGCACACACAGCACTTGGGATCTCAAGCTTTTAATTGAAGCACTAGGGAGGTAGAGGCAGGAAGTGATATGGCTTGGCAGAGAGAGGAATATAAGGAGGAAGGAGACAGGAACTCAGTCTCTTTCAGGCTGAGGAGTTGGCAAGATAAACGGCGGTCGGTGGCTGTGGCTTGCTCTTTTTTCTCTCTGACATTTCAGCATTTACCCCTATATCTGACTCTGGGTTTTTATTATTAAGACCAATTAGGATTTGCAATACAATAATCTCCCTGTGTCAGGTTTAAGTTGGATCACCAGGAAAGAACAGTGCCATGTTGATGACTGAACCTCACCTAGTTCAACAAGCCAAAGAAAGATTCCCTTTCGCTGGTAGGGAACAGGAGGGATCTAAAACTTGATGCTGTTGAGAAACACAAGTAAGATGGTGTGCAGGGCAAAGTTTACAAGCACCCAGAGAGAAAAACTTTAGGATGTACACAACACCTCAAACAGTTCAATCGGTTTCTGGTAGTAGAAATCTGGTGTCCACAGGTTTTGAAATCACCTCACATTACTTCCCTCAACTGGCACCCAGGATTTAGAACCTTCCCTAGAGAGAGTTGCTGAGTCATCATCTAAATCCTCTCCCTCTAAGGTTGTTCATCATTTAAATCATTGTCATCAAGGTTGTTCCGCAGAATGTAAGCCTCCTTTCACAAAATGCTTCTCTCCCATCCTCATGCTGCTTAATCTTTCTTGGGAGGAAGCAATTAAGTTCAGAGTGCCTTAAAATAAGTACTTTAAAAAGAATTGTCATCTATGGTCAATTGAAAACAAAGAGATGCTTAAAATGATTGTTTTTCTGTCTTTGCTCTCACATTTAAAGTTAAAAAAAAAACAACCTAAAAATAGATTTTTCAAACACAGCATTTTTTCTCCACAAACCATTTTTCCTAATTATAGACATTACAGTGGAGTTTTTATTTTAATTGCATGTTTCATTATCACTAAAGGGATTCAACCTGTAGTGTTCCCCTCATAATCAACAGTCTGAAAGAGACAGTAAGCCTTCTAAGATATTCTGCAAATCTCCAAAAAAGTACAGACAACCCACTCAGCACTTCTCTCTACAAGGTACCTGCTCTTCTAAGGAGTTTCACTCCAGGAATGATATGGATTGTGTTCTTTTGGAATGTCGTGTTTCTAAACAAAACCTTTTACCTTCTTAGACACCACAACAAGTATGATCCTCCTAAGACAAAACTCTTGGGCCTGGTCTCAGACTTTGGTTAACAAAATAAGTATTTAACACAGTTCTTTGTAGATCTATGCTCATGGTAACAGGGCTGCTAATACTTTCCATGCAAGGAAGGGGTGTCTTAGGTCCCTCACTTTGGATTCCAGCCATTTCTGATCTAGGGTGTGCTATAGTCTATAGGGTGTGGACATCTATATGAAGGAGGGACTCTATGGTAGAGATAGCGTGAGGTCCTCCACTGGATGGAGAGGGACTTTTTTGGGGATGTGGCTGCTTTTGTCATTGATGTACCTATATGTAATGCCTCACACATGCTCCTGTGAGTCACTTCAATGCACTTATTTGTTCCCTGAGTTGAATGTCAGCAAAATCATTTTTTTTTGTTCTGTTTCCTGTGTTCTGTCTGAGGACAATAAACATTTATTAGTACCTTCCCAGAAAAGTTATGTAACAAAAGTATACTTGGGTAAGAATATGTTTGCCTAAATCTCAATGATGTCCATGTTTTCACTAGGACAATCAGAACATACTTTTCTCACCTCAGAAATTCCTGTATCCATAATGCAGTCACTACCCTCTATATTTCTGTTTCTAGGCAACATTATAGTCTGTTTTCAATCACAGTAAAGTCGACTATTTGGATAGAATCTTCCAGCTTATACTCTTTTATGCCTAGCTTCTTTCAGTACAATGCTTTTTTATATCCACTCAGTTGCATGAATTAATAGTTAATTCATTTTTATGGCTGAGTAGTATTTCATCTATAACTATAGATTTGAAGAACTAAGAATAAATTAATGAGAAATATATTGAATTCATAGCATCAATTCAGAAATACTTGCTGTAAAATTAATATTTTATTCATAGAAACTGGTAAATTAATCACTATGCCCAAAATAAAACATTTTTAAAATCCATGTAATTATTTTGTTAAAGCATAAGCCCCCATTGCTAGTAAGTTTTACAATCTATATATATACCAATATGACTCATGAAGCAAAGATTAATTTTAACAATTGCTTAGTGTGAGGTTCTTTTGGAGTTTTAATTTTCTACTTTTAAAGTAAAATAAAAATGGTTTTTCCTGTGACATTTGCAGTAGTATTACAGCACATTCTAGATTTAGGGGTTACAAAACCTGTAACAGTTCATCAGAAGACTGGTGTTCTGTATATATATGAGAGAGTTGACCATTTATATATAAAGGAAACTACAGTGCACTGGGCTGTGGTGTGACAATGACTGGGTTGATACTCAGGGCATTTCATGCCATTGCAAACTCCCTGCTATGTACAGACACCTAAATGTTGTAAACATCTTGCCTGGAAGGTTATAATCATATTCTTCCAATAATTTTTCAAGTGGATTTGGAAAGATAGAAGCAATTTTCCTCAAATGGCAACCATGAGAAGATGAAGAATTGCCAGCAATTTGCAGACTTGCACAGAGGCCTCTGGATTTCTTATGTCCTTGTGTGAATTATCTAAACCAGTATGATTACAGTAAGCCCATCAGAGATAGCTTTCCTACAGTCCCTAAGCATCCATAATTTTTTTGATTCCCCAATACTTTTGTTAGATTCTAAATTTTAGCAT